CTCCCAAGCTGCGAAAGGTGCAAGTACAACACACCTACATTGCATACTGCACATAATGCGCCTGCCTCCGGAAACGGAGGAACTGCTGCTGAGTTCGGAACTCTACCAGGGACCTCTCGACATCCATTGAGCCCCAAACCATGCTGGGCCTTGCGGCATGAAACCAAGCCCGTACAAGGGCATGGGCGCTGTTGCTGTTGATACTGCCATTGTGCTGCGTGCGCATGTGGTCCTTGTGTTCCTGCTGCTGCCTGAAAGGGATTGCCCTGTCCGGTTTGATCACGCACATCCGGGCCTTCCTGTTCCGCGTTCAAAAAACCGTGACCGCTGTGCTGCGACTGCTTACTGCCTTGACTGGTGGTGCATGCGGTGCGCCTCGGAGATCTGTCTGATCTACAAATCCACGCTCCATCGCGCCTGGGCTATCGCGCGCCTGACCTGGATCGCTCACTGCCGACGCTGGTCAGCCCCGCAGTGAAAACTGCAGAAACAGGTCGATCTCTCCGCCACATCGATCAAGGTCATTAATGAACATACTTTCTCGCATTGTGGGGGGGCTGAAACACATTTTGGCTTCCGAGCGCGTTGCGGGAAATCCACACGGAAGCCTTCGCCTACTGTGAGGCCATCGAAGTGGTGGAGGCTCCGCCCGCACTCAGGTATCGCCCACAGGGCCTTCACCAACTGTAGTCAGCTGATGGACTTTGATCTCCAGCACGGTAAAAGGACAACTTGGAGAGGACCTTATGCAGAAAGCAACACGTTTGATTTATGCCCTCACTTTCGAATTCCCAAGTGGACGAGCCTCCTCCCTCCCGATGGAGAAAACCTGGACGAAAAAATGTTGGAAACCTGCGCCACCAAGAGCGTTACACCGTACCGGCAAACGCAAACAGGGTGGTGACCTTAGTCCACTTACCTTTTCGAGCCATATGTCGCAAGACCCTGAGGAGGTTGAATCGAATCCGTTGGACCTCAACGATGGTATGGATGATCGAAGTCAGGTGCCGATAGCCTACACACAGGCTGCAACAGACTGGCTTTCAGAGGCAGGTCAAGCCCTTTTTGCCCAGAGTCCCGCAGTCAGTGTCTCGCAGGTCCTAGCAGATGCAGATGCAGCTTTGAAAATGCCTGATCGTCTTAGTAGTCCTTTTGGCCTCGACTCTGCCAGACCAGCCCTAGTTTTGGCAGATGTCAGAGCCCAGCCGCCCAAGTTGGATCGTGGATACGCCACACAACAGAAGGACGCAAAAGGGGACCTACCTGATATGACTGCCATTATACACATGCTCATGCTGCATCGCGAGCTCATAGTACGTAGTCACATGATATATCTAATCGTAGACAATCGATTGCCTGAGGATGTCCCCTATTGGCCTGCCTTTGCAGCGTGGTGGGCCTCTCGCCGAAGCTTGGTTGGTCCGCAAGAGGAAATAACGGAAGTCCGAGCTGATGCTGATGTCGGCCTTCATAGGATTCCATACTATTGGGCCGGGGTTTTTGTTCTTGAAGCTGCACGCTTTCTCTACCCTGCTCAACACTTTGCACTCATCGACAATGATTGTGTACCAGTCACACTATTTGAAGTCCAAGACCTACTGCAGTTGGCTCATCAGCAACACCAATGGGCTGATCTCATAGGGTGTGCACGACCAGGGTCTTACTCTAGTTCCGGAATCGGCATGTTGTTATTCACTGAAGCTCACCTCGAATACAACGCAGGTCTGGTCGTGTCGATAGGCAACCGTCACAAGAGCAGCCCACTGGAGCATGAAACAAGTGCTGCGGCGCTGGCACAGAGTCTCCAAGCCTGCCGCCTCGCATTAGTCTCTCGAGCCAAGGCACCGATCAATCCGAGTGAGGCTGCCATCAATGGGACCATATTTACTCTCTTTGTTGGAGTCCCAATGAGAACTGCCCTTGACTTGTGCATTGTGTGGTCACTCTATGGCCTCTACATGTGTAAGCACTTTTGGCCTTGCCGGCTATGAGCACAGCTAACCTCGGCCCTCACGGCACTATAAGATGGCCACGACAATCCCATCCTGGGGCACTCACCCCAGCCGGACAAGAGCGTCACTAGTTGGGCTAGGGCCAATTTCGAACAGGGAATCTTCTCCGTGCTCCCAATGTTAGAAGGCCCATGCACTGCCACATCACTGCCGGGGGAGCGTCTTTTCCAGGCCAGTGCGTTACCACGTAATCGAATGCGACCAACCATTTTTCATGCCTTTGGTAAAGCCAAAGTAGGAGCACAGGCTGCTTTGCGTGACCTGGAGAAGCAGGGCTGGGAAACGCTGCCAATTGCCATACTAGGTATGCCTAATCTGCCTCCAGCATGGGCTGTAGACACCTGGAAGCCAATAGGGGGGTGCAAATTTACGGGGTTTTCCTCCGGAACAGTCGGCAATAGTGCTCTGCGATTTTGCCTGTTGTTAAAGTGGCGCGCGATTCTCCCAGGGAGCTCCGACCTCTTTCCAGGTCAGGTGCGGGGTGACAGCCTTAGCTGTTGTCCAGAGAGGGAGGACGATGATGACCTCGAGTCAGCTTCTACGCCGTCGTCGAACACATCTTCGCGCAGAGCAAGCCAGCTTGCTCAAGCTGTTGCACGAGATTCGACAAACAATAGCCAGACTCACTGCCTAGGCCAAACTGTTCCCAGTCCACAGCTTTTGTCACCCCCACTCTTTGTGTCCTGGAGCCAGGTCGCAGACTTGAGAGGAATTATAGGTGTACACAAGGACCATGAGGCGTGCCCCTATGATGAGCTGAAAGCAGCTATTGATCATCCCAAGGGTCTTGTCCCGGGAGAAAAAGACTTCTTTCTAAAGGCCAATGATGATTTGCTCAGCCAACTCGAGAATTCAGTTATGCCTTGAAAGTGGCTGGGTCCTCTAAATACCCCCTTGAAAAGTGGTGCCAAACAGGGTGGCTGAAGTGGGCGGCGAAAGCCGTGGCCAGGTTTCGTCCTAGCTGAAAAAGTGGTGCTTGGGAGGGTGGCTGAGATTTTTTCATATCAACAAAACTGGTGTCGGGAGCCGTGGCTGGAATTGTGCTTTGACATTCATCTCTTTTGCCACTGTGCTGAATTGTCTCGCGAAACTGAATTTCAGTCGTTCACAAAACAAGCTGGAAAGGTGATTTGTTCACCTTTCAAGACCCATCTTCACTGTCACCGCAGTCTGAACAATCGCTGTGGGCCACAGAGCCGCCGCAGCAAGATTCTGAATCATCAAACACAAGATCACTGATTGCAAGCGGAACTTGCTCAGTGCCATCGCCAAAATCCACTGACAGGAGCACCTTAAATGGACAACTACAGGACGAAACCAAACGAAAACTACAGCAGCATTGCCAGCACTGGTAGGTCAAGTCCGTGAGGTTTTTGGTCGTCCTGCAGTCTAGCCCCGTGCAAACGAAGGCACCCCACAAATAGCAGCTGCGATGCAAGGAATAGACATGGCGTTTCCTGATGGACAGCGCCCCAACAATATGATCTTTGCTTGTCGGCCTTTCTCAAAAACATCAACAAATTCAGAACACCAAACAAAATCAGTGTCCTGCCATCGAAGTATAGTGCACGGGCTTTGTGGATGTCGGAAAGACTAAATTGTCCAGAGCAAAACCATGCCTGAGCAGTTGCAATTGCCAGCCTTCAACTGGCTTAACTTGGTACATCATCTAGGTGGTCTACGGTCTAAGGAGTGCACAGCCCCAGCATGGTCGCCGGACACAACAATTCATTGGTCTTGAAGGAATAGATTTTGGAGTTGCAAGTCAGCCTAAGCGCAAACAGCAGAGCCAGCCCAGTCAACAAACGCAAAACATGTCAATCAATAATCCATAGTCGGTTTGACTAATTTTGTCAATAGGTTGAACCTCGGAACGTTGGGCTCATACCATCTGATCGCCTGACGCCTCTGCTGAAAGACTTCACAACGTCGATAACCAACCTGTTCCGCTCATCTTCCTGACAGTGCGAGGGCAGACTTTCCTGTTCAAGTTACTGTAAAATGTAGGATCTCCCGGATCCCGGGTCATGGCCTGGCCAAACCTTTTTTCTATGAGCAAATGCTGAATGAGAAACATTTAACTTAAATCCGAGAAGCTGGAACTATATGATGGAGCAAATCCAAACCTTCTATCTCTCGTGCAGTGAGGCGCTTACACCAAGCGGGGCCATACTTGTTGAAACAAGCCCGAGAGTACCTGGACAAATAGTGCCTTGCGAAAGGCTTGGTAGCAATTTGAATGGCAAACATCGTATCGATGGACCGGACTGTCAAGTTCTCACCCAAGATGCTGTCGGAAATCTCTGTCACTGAGCTTGTCCAAGCCGTGCTCCTTCTTGATCTTGTCGTACTCGGCACGGGCCTTCCCAACAGTTGGGCCCTGCAGCTTAGCAACCTTGGAGCAGGTCAAGCAAGAAGCAAACTAAAGTGAGCCTACAACCTCCACTGAAAGCAAGACCGCAGCGCAGTCCAGTCCAGAGTCAGTCCCCAAGCACCTTCCCTGACAAAACCAATTCACTGCGTTTCTCACATAACATCGCCCGGTCCACTGATCCATGCTTCCCTCAGCCTGGACCATGTGCGTGATCAAGGCGATTGCGTCGTCACCTAACTGACTAACGACTAACGTCAATTGTGCAGTTTTTGCACTTTAGGCTGGGCGCTGGAGGCTTTTCCCCCAACACCAAGGACGGACCGCCAACCAATTCGACAATGAGAGAAATTGACAACAATGGAGCGAACGCCAAGTCGAGATTGATGGAGTGCGTTGAAACAATTATCGTTTCAGTAGTGAAACCTAGTTGAAGAAAAAACTAGTACGGGCCAGTCAGTCGTCCTAAACCACAAGGGGGTTACATGGTTTCCCGGCAGGGTGGTTGAGTGGAGATTTGGCATCTACAAAAAAGACGAACCGAACAAGCTCTTTGGCGCAAACTAAAACCCCCGCCAGGAAGTACCTAGATCTTCTCCAGGCCCGTACCCCCTTGCTCATTTGCTGCGTTTGGCGGCAGATTTTGCCTTCTTTGGGGACGCCTTCCCCTTCGCCAATGCCTTTGCAATGGGAGAGCGCTCAGTGTCCTCCCAAGCCTTGGCATTCTTGGCGGCCCTTTTGGGCGTAGCCGCAGGCGAAGGCGCAGGCATCGATTTGTCGTCAATTTGCTTCTTGAGATCCTGTGCAACAACGATGAGGCACAAAACAAAAAGAAGTTAAGAAGCAAACCGTATTTGGAGCTCTTATTCAGAAAATAACGAGCCAGCATGCAGCACTCAGCATTAATACCAATTATATCAACAAACAACAGTCCTTGAGTTTCTTCTCAATCTGATCTTGCAACACTTTTGGCCATTTGGTCTTGGAGAACTTGAGCTGAGTAGTTGCATATTTCTTCAAAGCTTCAATCGACTGGATGTAGTGAGAAGGTTCTGTCTCAAGGTCATTGCGGAGCAAACATGCTACAGTCATTGATGCAAAGATGTCCCGTTGGATCTCAGAAGTTGTCGGCGCCTGAACCGCGGCCTGATCTAGCTTGGTCATCGCCTCTGCACTGATTCCGTAGGACTCGTGCGTGCTTGATGAAACGTAGGTCTGCACAGTGGTCAACAGGTCATCGGCTTCCTGAAGCTGCTGCAAACCTAAGATCTGCGCCGAACGTCTTGTTCACTACCATCGGAATTCGAGTGGTTCAACAATAAAATAACAATAAGAACCCTTGGAGAGCTGAAACCGAACCAGTCGTGAGTCGTTCAGTCGTTTCGTGTGTCATATTCAGATTCACGCCAAGACACGGGGAATTTGTTTCATCTCATCCTCTGTTCGGCTGTCAGAGTTGTCAACGAGATGCTTGACTTGGTCAAAGTCCCACGAATCCAAGGAATCAACTACTTTGACATACTTCTCATGAAACTCCTTCAGCGATTCTTTCTGTTTGATCACCTCCTCTGCAACGTCCGTCAACATCTTTGAGAGCTTGAGCTTTCCCTCGTTGAAATGGTCCCGGGCGCGAGGCAAGCAGCAAAGCACATCAGGCGTTTGGAGCCCGGATAGCTGGGCTATGTTCAGCATGGCGTCCTTCACATCTGCCTTGCTGCTCAGCGTGTCCATTGACCAAAAGCCACCTTTGGAATCGGCTTGATGAACAATTGCTGCACCAATCAGGATTGTAGACACCTTGGTTCCAAGCTGGACCTTTACAGCTGTCGAGAGGCCCAAAAGGTCTTCCATGTGTCCTTTCTGGATGAGTGCAGCCAGCCATGCTGTGGGCAGCAAAGCAGATTCATCCACCACCCCACACAGCCTGTTCACTGTCTGCGCAAAGGATTTGGGCCAATCAGAGCCTGCACGGGTGGCAAGCAGAGTCATAGTCACGGCAACGTGTTTTCTTTATATAAAACTAAAAAGTAAAGATGATCTAAATCGGAACACCGGGCCACTTGCAATGTGAAATGGGAAACCAACATCCTAGTCCTAGCCCTAGCCTGTAGTGTCCCTGCTCTTCTGCGCACGCGCCACATGATGATTGCAAAGAGCATTCGTCATAGTCGTTGAGGCAGAAACAAATGAATCGACTGTGAGCTCCTTCTCAGCCAATTCAACCGCCTCACAGCATGCATTTGCTTCTTTTGCGAGCTCCACCAGAAAATCAATGTCAGAGACTGCCAGCTTTGCCCAACCCTCCACCTTGACAGGTGACAGAGCGGCAATGACAACAAAAACTCCTACTTCTCACTCTCGCTTCTCAATTTCTATTTGCTACAACTCTGTGCTGCTGCTGCTGCTACTGCAGCGACCATAATTATTACTTTGCATGAGCGTGACATTTCATGGGCACTTCACAGAGATTGAGATGATAGGCTGGCCTTCAGCAGCCTCAGCATGTAGCCAAGGTTCCTGATGATGTGTGGCGCAGCCCGCTTACTGCCACCTTTGGCACAACCCTTCTCGATGGGACACGCTGCCAGCATCAAAGGCTCATCGCCCACCTTGGTCACGCAGTCGTTGATCTTCTCAACGCAACCTCGCAGCTGCACAAGACCAGCCTTTCCATCAGCACTGCTTGGAGGCATCTTATCTGCCTGCTCTCGGCAAACCAGAATGGACTGTAGCTGCGTCATCAGATTCTCGTTCTCGAGCAGCTTGAAAAGGCCATCGCAGCCATCTGCCTGTGCTTTGCCAAGAGCTTCTTCTGGAAAGCCCTTGAGGGCTTCTGTAATTTTGTCAGAGATTCCATCGGCAGATACTGCTTTGCAAGCCGCAGCTTCTAGGGAAGTCCACGCACTCCTTCAGGTGTGAGTCGTCCAATAGCCAGTCAGGGTCTAGTCTAGAGTCTAGTCTAGTCGAGTCATAGTCAGTGTCAGATCATAGATCAATGAAATGAAATGAGCCTTAGTCTAGTCAGAGTCAGAGTCAATAGTGTCAATAAGAATATGTACTACAGTACAGTACCAGTACTAGTACTATAGTACTACAGTACACATTACATAATGATGCCCAAAACTCAAACCATGTCCAATCCTAGAGTAAACCCAAAAGTTCTCCTCAGCATTTGGGACTTCAAAGCAGCCAGAACTTTCACTGAGAGCTGGTTCTTCCGGTCATAGGCCGCTTTGGCAACTGCAAAGGAGCAAGGATCATCCTGGCCAACATCGCTTGTCAAGGGACCTTTGATAAAAAGTCGAACCCCTACACCCTTGGGTGGTCCAGCGATAGTGAATTTTGGCCCCGGGAGATCTGACCTGGCTGAAGTCCATGATCATCGTTTTGAAGACTTGCAGTTCAAGCAAAATCCTGTTGCAAAGCCCGTGAGATCCATAAGATTTTGTTGGAGAGAAAGGCGCATCCGCTGAGAAATCGTCAGGCAAACTCGCGAGATCAGCCATTCCACAGCTTACCCTGGGCAGGGCAGGACGGCAGACCGGCGGCAGAACCACAACACCTCCCAAAGACTTTAGTACTCCGTACTCCGTCTTCTGCTTTTAGTCGAGTTAGTCTAGTCAGAGTCTAGTCCGGAGTCCAGTCCAATCAGTGACTCAAAAAAAACATTCGACTCAAATTTCAACTAGTCATAGTCAAGTCAAGTCATGGCATGTTTCCGCTCCAAGCCACGCTAAAATTCCACGCGAGAACTTTGGAAACGATTTTGCTCTGCAGATTTTGTCCAGCCACATGTTATAGAGCTGCAACTGGAGTGAACGAATGGGTCCCTCAGCCACCTGCTCCAATTCACCAATACCGTATTGGTGGGCTGTAGCGTGAATGTAGTGGTTCAAGGAGAGGCCTTGGGACGGACTTGCGTTCAAGAGCTTGAAGAACAAATCAGTAGCCCGGCTCAAATCAGGATCTGTGCTCTTCTCCAAATCAATGTCTTTCAGAATCACCCCAGCCAGCCAAGTCATGATATGTGACACTGTCGATGGCTCGAGCTTTCGGAAGACCAGGTGGGCTTCATCACTCATACCCGTGACCTGCGCCAAAGGAGATTGGCGAACATCGCCGAAGAGCTTGTGCTTGGTCGCCGTCTCTTCAGCAAAAAGCACCATGTCGCGGCAAAGCTTCTCCACCTCAGGAATTTCGGAACTCGAGAGAGGTACTGACAGGCCAGTCAAATTCTTGTCCATAGTTTCGATTGCTCGGCTGCGAATCTTGGCGCTCCACAGCTTGTCCTCTGCAAATGTCTCCTGGTGCTTAGCAAGCGCCGCCTTCGCCTTGTCGACGTGGACATTGGAAGCAACAGAGCGAAGAGCCGGACCAGCAGGGTCTGGGCGTTGGGGCTTGCCGTTGGCCTTCGGCTTGCCCCCCTTCCCCTTTCCCTTCGCCCGCTTGTTGTCAGACCCAGGATGTGCTTCCTCAACCGAAGCCGGACCTGATGTGATTGGGACTGGCGCTGGCCTTTTTGTTCCACGCTTGACTGTGGATGACCCTGACCCCATCACGTCGCTTGAGAACCCCATGTCCATGTCAGAATCCGAATCCTGCGGCTGTCCATCTCTGATCGGTTCAAACTCATCATCATCACCGAAGGCCTCATAGTCCCTTGAAGGTTGCATGGCCTGAAGCTTCCTAAGCAACACGCGTGAAATCATCGAATCCGGCAACAACAAAAAGCTGTTGAAGGATGTGGAATCGATTTGATCGATCGGTGCACGGTTGGTCCAGGAATTGAAATGAGTGTTTTGCTGCGAGTCAGCAACCTACAGTCAATCGAATCTTGGCGGCTTGTCTAGAGTTTGAGTTTGCCAAATCCGGCCCAGCTGCTTCTGCAAGCCTTCACGGGTAGAAGTGGACCACGAATCATGGCGCTGGCGCATGGCGCTGGAAGAAGACCGGAACTTCTCATTGGCCGTGTTGGCATTCTCACAGCCAATGTTCTGACATCGTTGGGCGCAAAAAGAAAGAAAACATGACTGTGACTGTGACTGACTGAAACGGTTTTTTGACATGACATGGGGACATGGCTTCATTGGGCGGCTGGTCAGTCGAGTCAGGCCGGTAAAGCTAAAGTCTGTCCTGCTGCTTGCTGATTCCGAAGCGGTTGCCCATGATGATCTTCTTCTTCCCAGAGAAGATGACAACAGAAGGCACTCCCTCATCATCGTAGCGCTGAACCCCAAGCTCCTGGGTCACAGTTCCCTAGCAATGACACTTCAATGAACTTGGCCCGACTCGTGCCAAATTTGGGGCACCAACATCATGTGATGTCATTGAATCATATCATATGGATTATTAGTATTCGTATCAGTATTAGTCAGAGCACAAATATTTTTAGACTTGGCCCTGGCCCATACACCTGTCCTGTTCTGCAAAGAGATACTTCTCTTCCGTAGTCCCCCAGTCTTGAACGTTGAACCCATGCTCCGTCAAGAAGGCATCCAGGGGCTGCACCTCACCTTCATTGTAGAGGTCCGTGTAGCGCTCTTCCTTTTTGAACACTGAGAGGTCTATCTTCTCGTGCTGTTTGCGCCCTGGCTGAGCGTTGTACTCACGCTTGCTCTCCCAAGTGTTGTTCAGCTCCTGCAAACATGCTGACTCCGACTCGGTGGCCCTAACTTACTACTACCAAGCAAGGACGCTACTAGGGTCTTCTCTGGCATCGCTACTAGGAGCAAGAACGTTACTAGGGGCTTGTGGCCTTACTACTAGTGAAATTACTAGTGGCAAGGACGCTTCTCAACTGATTCTCCCATCCAAGCGAGCCCTTCCGACCCAGCGAACAAATCGACGCGCAGCGAGAGAACAACAAAGAACTTGAACTAGGGGCCCCTGGCCGTACTACGAGGAGCAAGTAACTACCTACTTCACTCATCCAATGCCTACTTCGCCCCATTGTTTTCCATCCACGTTGAACGGGTCTGGGACGGTCCGGTGCACTCCAGCGGGACTGCAGCGCGATTTCATTCCAAGATCCACTGCCCTACATCCGATCGTGGTCACGCAAACCAAACCACCAACATGAACCCTGACACAAGAACGAAAAAACAACCCACACACACTGATCATCAGAGCTGAGCTATCTCACCTATGTGACCGACGACCGGCCAGCAGGATCAATTCTGCTGCTCGGCTCTGCTCGCAGCAAATCAAGCCACAATTCGCGGCAAAACTCCAAACCACATGGATTCAATGAACAGGGCTCGGTCACAGACAGGTCCGGTCCAGTCTAGTCTACCAACCTATATAGATTGCAAATTAAATGAAACACAGCCTTGCAAACACCAGTATTCCGATCCAATCTTTCGATAAGGCTGGACTGATCCAAATGTCAGTAAGTACGCTTGACTCGACCGACTGCCAACTGGTGGCCGAGTGACAATCCCTCCACAACACCGGTCTCTACATCGACCGTCGGTGAATAGGTCTCCAAGTCGATGGTTTCACCATCAGCGTGGCGTCGAAGGAGGTCAAGCATTTGAAGAGTTTCATCAAACCACGCCTCCCCGCACGAGCCCCGGATAAACCAAAATCACCGCACGAACATCTCGTGAATCTCTTGAAAGGAAATCGGGCCGTAAGTTACGGGGAGCGATGGGAACTACCAAGCCATCAACGATGGGCATTACAAGCGAGCCCTTCCGACCCATCGAACAAATCGACGCGCAGCGAGAGAACAACAAAGAACTTGAACTAGGGGCTCCTGGACTCCTGGCCGTACTACGAGGAGCAAGTTCATTCCAAGATCCACTGCCCTACATCCGATCGTGGTCACACAAACCAAACCACCAAGAACACTGATCATCAGAGCTGAGCTATCTCACCTATGTGACCGACGACCGGCCAGCAGGATCAATTCTGCTGCTCGGCTCTGCTCGCAGCAAATCAAGCCACAATTCGCGGCTGTCGCGGGGGCTCGGTCACAGACAGGTCCA